TATGACTGATCATGACAAAAAATGCTCTTTTATTGAAGGATTATGATCATATGAAGCCATTTATTATCAAATAGTTGTTTGGCTCCTTTTTAAATCATAATGATAACAGAAATCATCCAAATGGCCATGATCAAAAGTTTACATACCCTGGAATGTTTGGCCTTGGTACAGACACACAAGGCGACACACGGGTTGAAATGCCAATTAGAGGTTAATGTCGCACATCTGTGGCTTTTTAAATTGCATTTAGTGTCAGTGTATAAATAGTCAATGAGTTTATTAGCTCTTACGTGGAAGCACTGAATAGGCTAGATACTGAGCCATGGGGATCAGAAAAGAACTGTCAAAAGTCCTGCGTAACAAGGTAATTGAGCTTTATAAAGATGGAAAAGGACAAAAAAAATGTCTAAAGTCCTGAATATGCCAATCAGTACTGTTAAATCACCTATTAAGAAGTGGAAAGTTTAGGGATCTCTTGATACCAAGCCAAGATCAGGTAGACCAAGAAAAATTGCAGCCATGACTGCCAGAAGAATTGTTTGGGATACAAAGGGAAACCCATAGGTAACCGCAAGAAAAAATACAGGCTGCTCTAGAAAAAGACAACATGGTTGTTTTGAAGGAGCACAATATGATGACACTTGAACAAAAATGAGCTGCATGGTCGAGGTGCCAGAAAGAAGCCTTTACTGCATCAATGACACAAAAAGGCCTGGTTAGGCATGTCAAGGTGTTGTCAGGCATATTATAACTGAGATTTTTTTGTGACATTGGTGCGGTAAAAGCTTATTCTGGCACCTCGACCAAACAGCTCATTTTTGTTCAAGTATCACCGTATTGTACTCCATAAAAACAACCACACCATCTTTTTCCAGAGCAGCCTGTTTTTCTTTTGAGGTTGTCTGTGGGTTTTTCTTTGAATCCCGGACAATTCTTCTGTCAGTTATGGCTGCAATCTTTCTTGGTCTACCTTGGCTTGGTATCATGAGATCCCTGAACTTTCCACTTCCTAATAGGTGATTTAACAGTACTGATTGGCATATTCAAGGCTTTGGACATCTTTATATGTCCTTTTCCATCTTTATAAAGTTCCATTACCTTGTTACGCAGGACTTTTGACAGCTCTTTTCTGATTCCCATGGCTCAGTATCTAGCCTACTCAGTGCTTCCACGTAAGAGCTAACAAACTAATTGACTATTTATACACTGACACTAATTGCATTTAAAAAGCCACATATGTGGAACATTAACCTCTAATTGGCATTTTAACCCATGTATGTCACCTTGTGTGTCTGTACGAAGGCCAAACATTCCAGGGTATGTAAACTTTTGATCATGGCCATTTGGGTGATTTCTGTTATCATGATGATTTAAAAAGGAGCCAAACAACTAATTGATAATAAATGGCTTCATATGATCATCATTTTTCAATAAAAGAGCATTTTTTGTCATGATCAGTCATATTTTCAATATCAATGCCAAAATTTCACAATTTCTGCCAGGGTATGTAAACTTTTGAGCACAACTATATATATATATATATATATATATATATATATATATATATATACACACACACACACACAATGAGCAAATAGAAGCATATCAAGAAAACCTTCTTTAAAAGTTTCTTTTGAAAAATGTAGTTAGTATATTAGTAAAGTGCATAACTGTAAGGTGTTGCTACATGCCAACAGGGGTCAATTTCAATGACTTGTATTGTAAATAATCAGAAAATTGCAATGGTGAAGAGAACATCTATTCAGTGTTGTGGTACATTAAAAAAAAAAAATGTTTTGCTGGTTTCATCCTCTTTAATCAGGCAGAAATTAACAACACACCAGTAAGGATAACAAACAACAGGATAACAAAAATAAGTAAATCACAAAAGATAAGTTAGTCATAAGATACAAGTAAAGTAAATGTAATTGTAAGTTTTAAGTTGATATCTAAGTGTTAATATGTGCAAAAAGTTGATTTACTAAAGGGAATCCATATTTAGTTTTCAAGTTTAATTACACTTATCTCAATGAATAAGGCGAAGCACGGTACAACATTCCCAATTATGGAAAATATTAAAAAAATAAGATGTTTGATCAGATATGTTTGGATGGATAAAGTCAGCACAGCATCACCTCATTCCTTAAACTAAGTAAAAATTAATTTGCTATACTTCTTTAGTAAATCAACCCTAATGTATTAGTTTAAGTCCAAGTACAACATCTTAACCCTTTCCTGATGCATATACTGTATGTGGCCAAATGGAAGTGGGTCTTTATCCATGAGACCACATAAATGCACTACTTTGTTTTTGCTAAGAGAAAGCTGCACAGTGCGTTCTCAGCACAAAGACCAAGCTCTCACCGAGAGTTCCAGGTCCCATACTAAAGACTGGGAACTGGGAGGCCTAGTTCCCGATCACCTGATTGCTATGATAGCCTCTGATTGGCTATCATAGTGATCAGTCACTGTATAGCCTGACCATGTGTTGTTTTCTCCTCTTGAATGGAGAAAATGATACATTGTATCTTTTTCTCCATGCTAGAGAGGAAAAGTGTAAACAAAGAACAGTGTGTATAAACCCCCCTTCCCCCCCAAAAAAAAAACAAAGAATGAAAAAAATAGCTGAATTATGGTTTGATCTAGGTCAGTGTCAGGATTGGAGTGAGGGTCAAGGATAGAATCAAAGGTCAAAATCAGAGACAGGGTATTTTAGGTAGGATTGAACTTTTTTTTTTAAATTCAGTATTATTGTCAATGTGTTTTCAATAAAAAAGCAAAATGCATACAATTGCTTCTGGGCCCTACTATGGGTGTAAACAACAAAAGGAAACGTAAAATTTATTTTGAGTTATTCTTTGGTGGTAGGTTATGGTAATAGCAAGAAGTACATAGCTACAGTATATTACATTTTTTTTTTTTTACTGTTTTGCGCCGGTTACTTTGATAAGAAATAAAAGAAGAAATCAGGAGATATCCATTACCATTTACTACCTCAGTTTGTCCTAAAATTCACCTGGATGCACTAAGCAGTTGCTATGATATGTACATTGTCACTAACACATGTCAAAGTTGCAAAATTGTGTGCAGGAGTTAGGATTTGTTTAACCCTCATGAAGGGTTTTAAAATAAATAAAAGACACTTAAATACAAAAACATGATGCATAAGAATAGCTTATGCCCAGTGACTAGAGACTGAATATTTAAGGTCAATCTGTTTAGGCGATATGGTCATTGCTGGGCCTCATGATTCATGAAGGACTTTGGTTTTGAAAAGATTGTCCCTTTTTCTTACAAGACTGTGGGGATTAAAAGAGGTTTAAGGGCACAGTGTTGTGGTGTGAGCAGGGCATATAGAGAACAATTGATTCTGTTATGACCTTGCAGAACACGTGCAGAAAAACTGACAGCTCTGCACCATGATGTGACCGAGCCCTTACTCTTCCGAACCCAAAGCCTGTGCTCCCCCACAATTTATCTTGTTTGAAAAATAAATCACATAAAAAATATTTTTAACAAACCAAAACCCCTTAACTCCACCCATCAATTCCGCGAAGATATCTGCGATCTAGGAGGAAGAGTGGACCATGTGGAAACTAAAATGGAAGAATTCACATCATCATTCAATGCTTTACTGGATTCACTTAACGACAAAGGAGACAATAAAGCCTGGATAAAAGCAAAACTAGCAGACCTGGAGGACACAACACGCCCATAAATACCTAAAAATCCAGGGAATTCCTGAATCCTTCCTTCCAGACCAACTGTCCACCTATATTAAAGATCTAATGTTTTCTCTCTTCCCTTCCTCCTACTGAATTACTTGTGGATAGGATTCACCACCTTCCTAAACCAAAACCCCTTAGAAAACTAAAACTTATTCCAAAGCTGTAGCTAATTTCCCTTTATCTAAGAAAAAGCTATTCAGCCTATTAGCATCTATCCAGAATGATAAAATCAGTTTTTTGGTTGCCTTAATTTTTTCATAAAACAGAGCAAAGGTTAACGTGTAAAGTACACTAACTAATGGTAAGCAATAAGATTTTACTTACTCGTTTGCAAGGAGATTGTACAGTCAGATCATGATGTGTGTTGAGCTTACTACATGAATTTAGATTGATTGATTAATTGATTGAGTGATTTATAGATTGATATGATCTACTTTTGCATATTGTTTCTTTCTTAATTACATTTATCTATATGTCTAGGTTATACTTTTCCATTGTTATCTTCTGCTTCCTTTTTCTCAAGTAGTCATCTATTTAGTTTTTTTGTTTTTATGCAAAGTTTTTTTTTATTGCTATTCTTACTGCAAGTATACACTTCATGTTTTAGGCCTCATGCACTCCGGAGTATTAAAATATTCTTAGCTGGGGGAGGGGCCTAAATATGGCACATGAGCTAGTGAGGCAGAGGAGCTCCAGACGCCGGCAGTGGAGATGCTGCCAGAACGATACGTGGATACTGTACTGACATCCCTCTGACATCCCACGATCATCCCATCTGGGTTTTCCTCTTACCTGGCGCTGGGTGGATGGGTGCGGAGAGGAGAGGACTGGCTCTCTTTCCACGGCAAAGCAGCAGTTGGAAGGAGGAAGGGTGGACGATGACAGGTACCCACGTGGTGGTGGATGCCGGGGACACCTGCCAGCAGTGGAGGGAACAGGATGCTGGGGCTTTCTGCATTGGAGAGAAGCTGTAGAGCTCTCCAGGTTAAGAATATACAGAGAGTGCCTGTGTGGATGACATTCCTGGAGGAGTAGCTCTGCACAGCACAGCCCAGCACCTTGATCTCTAGAGGAGTAGCCCTGCACAGTTGTGCACAGAACAGCCCAGCACCTTGATCCTGGATGAGTAGCTCTGCACAGTACTGCATTGCACAGTCCAGCACTTTGATCCTGGAGGAGTAGCTCTGCGCAGCACTGCATGGCACAGCCCAGCACCTTGATCCTGGAGGAGTAGCTCTGCGCAGCATTGCACGGCACAGCCCAGCACCTTGATCCTGGAGGAGTAGCTCTGCGCAGCACTGCAAGGCACAGCCCAGCACCTTGATCCTGGAGGAGTAGCTCTGCGCAGTACTGCACGGCACAGCCCAGCACCTTGATCCTGGAGTAGCTCTGCACAGTACTGCACGGCACAGCCCAGCACCTTGATCCTGGAGTAGCTCTGCACAGTACTGCACGGCAAAGCCCAGCACCTTGATCCTGGAGGAGTAGCTCTGCACAGTACTGCATGACACAGCCCAGCACCTTGATCCCTGGAGCTCCTGGAGGGATCAGCGATAGAACCCTAATAGAAGATAAATCCTGGAGGGACTCTGAAGGGACTACAGGTGGACTTTTATCCTATGAGTTGTGACCCAGAGATACCTGCCAAATACAGGATTTCGGGACTTGTTGAATTGAATGACCTCCCGCCCAGGCCACCTCACAGGGAACCAGAGAGCTGTGATTGGAGGGACATCGTGAGTTGCCGTGGACAACAGCTAAATATATATATATATATATATATATATGTTGTTTTATCACTTTTACAGGAGATTTAACATTTGTGAAAGGGGTCTGAGCGGGTGGAGGAAGAAGGCACTGGGTGGTCTCAGAAGGGCAAGGAAAGTGCACCTAAAGGAAGGTGATAATACCACATATCTGCACAAATGTATCCAGAACTGTATATATGATAATGACCAACTAGGAGGAGGGTTCTTATACAGGAGTGATATTTCCTTTTTTTCTTCGTGTTTGATTGGTGAATCCAGCACACGCGGAAAGTTAAATTAACATGAGTAGCAGAACTAACAAGGGAGGAGGAGTAAAGACCCCTCAGTCGAAGGCAAATATGAGTACAATTAAGAAATATATGCCAATACAAGAAAAAAGTCCTGAGATACAAGGACCTGAGGATCAAAAGGAAAGAAATAAAAAGTTGGATGAGGAGTAATCTAGATTGTCATTTGGAATTCGGGAGGGAAATATGCAGAATGAATCCATAAACAATGAAAGTATGTTAGAACAAAATGTGGCAGACCAACAGGAAACATTATCTCAAATGCCTACTAAAAACGAGATGGCAGGAATGTTCACAAAACCGGAATGCTACATAAAAAATGAAATGGCAGTGATTCATAAAGACCTAGGTTGAACAAGAATTGAAGAAATAGAAGGGAAAATGGAGGCCCAGGCTGAGCAGATTGTTAAATTGGAAATGCACATAGATGAGATGAAAAAGGAACAGAGGAGAGTGTCATATAAATTAGAGGACCAAGAAAATAGAGAAATGAGAAATAACCTGAGGATCCAGGGCCTACCAGAGGATACATTAGAAGAAGACTTGCAGGAAAAAATGAAGAATGTATTTAACCTCCTGTTAGGTAGATCAGACACAGATCCTCTAAAAATTGAGAGATTGCACAGAATTAGAAGTCAACCAGGAATCATGTCAGAATTTCCAAGATAAGAGATTGTCCATTTGCATAACTATGAGGAAAGAGAAAGAATATGGAAAACATTGTGTGAGACTCCTGAAATAAAATTTGGACAAATGAACTTTGCGGATAAAGATTTTTGCGGATATTGCTTCTGAGACTCTATCTAGAAGTAAGAGTACTGAAACCGTTATTAGATCAGATGAGAGAAAAAGGAGTCAGATATAACAGGGGTTCCCGGCATGTCTGATCGGATGGAAAGATGGGAAGTCAGCAAGACTGAGGTTCCCAGAGACTTTAAGAGACTTCAGTGAAAAATTACAACTGCAGAGTGTTGATACAGTGGAGTGGTCAGAGGGATCCAAGGAGAGGATGGAGTTAAAGAAGTGAGAAATGGCAGCAGGTTAATAGGAGATGAAGGTAGTTGGAGGTGGGTGAGGGGGATGGGTGAAGAGAGGAGAGGGAGAACGGAGAGGGAGCTTAATTAGTGGTTTTCTACTTCTCTTCCCCCCTTTTTTTCTCCTTTCTCTCTCTTGCCCCATTCCCATTTACTTTCTCATTCGCCCCTTGTTTGTTTTAGAAGAAGTGTGAGTAAGATATCATAGTAATGGCGGGGCGTACGGAGCCCTCTTAGGTCTTTATATAGAGGAAGATAAAGGGAAGCCCTCATGTTGAGAACAGGGGACCAAGAACGGTGTGCATGTTCACAGTCATACCCCAAAATAGGAATCGCTAGTGGGGGGGTTCCACATCAGATTCTAGAACTATATATATGCCAGGAGGTTTTTATGGATGGGGTGGGGAGGGAGGGGGAGGGTAATATAGGGTAAGGTTGTTGTCCATGAGTCGAATAGTCTTTGTTTCCCTACCTGTAAATGGAATTGTAAATAGGAAGAGAAATAGTTATCAGATATGAATTTGATTAATATTATGACTTATAATGTGAAAGGTTTAAACTCTCTGACTAAAAGGCACAAGATACTTAGGGAAGTACATCAACATTCTATAGAGGTGGTTTTCGTCCAAGAGACATATCTTTCTTATGATAAAAAACGTGAAGCTATATTCGAGGTACCATCCAACCTGGTATTACACAGATTCACCAATAAAGAAGGCCAAAGGAGTTGCAATAGGATTCGCTAAAAATCTAAATTTTGAGGTTGAGTGAAAATTGGTGGACCCAGAGGGTCAGTATTTAGGTTCAAGAGGGAAAATGCAGGGACAAAAATATACATTGGTAAACATTTATTGCCCAAATAAAAATCCAGAGGATTGCCTCCGAAAATTGTTGGAAAAAACGAAGGAATTTAAGGTAGGCAGTCTGATCATGACAGGAGACTTTAATTGCTGTTTGGATCCTTGGATGGATGCATCTTTGGGTGCGCAGAGGGAGGGAGGAAAAAACTAAGAAGGTTGAAAAGGGGGTTCCATCAAAATCAACTAATAGACACTTGGAGAGTAAAACATGCCAGAGAAAGTGATTATACCTTCTTCTCCTCTATGCACAGATAATATTCATGATTGGACTATGTATTAATAGAGCACAGACAGCTGGAATCCTTTGTTAAATTTAATATTGAGGTTATGACTATATCGGATCATGCCTCTGTCACGGTGAGACTGCGAATGGGAGAGGAAGGAAATAAGAGGGCTATGTGGAGATTAAATGAGAGACTTATACAAGATCCGGATATAGAGGAAACGTTAAAGGAAGAATTAGAGCAATTTTTTTTCTCTGAATGAAACAGAGGAATTATTGGTGTTGACTATATGGGAAGCACATAAGGCCTATATGAGGGGAATTTTGATTGCGGCAGGATCAAAAAGAAAGAGAGATCGAGAGAGGAAATTAAAAGAGGTTACTGAAGAATTACATAAATTAGAACAGGTACATAAAAAAAGCAGGATGCAGATTTGTGTAGGAAGATTACCCTTAAAAGAGAACGATTAGAAAGGAAACAAGGAAAATTTTCAACAGAGTATCAAAAGAGATAACAGTGGGGGAACAGACCAGGGAAATTTATGATGAAGAGACTGGAGGAAAAGAAATCAAAAAATTATATAGAAAAAATGTAATTAAAATTGGTAAAATACCACCACTGGTATTACTGATATGTTTAAAAGGTTTTATAGTAGGCTGTACGAGGTTAACCCTACAAATTCAAAAGTAGCAGAGGAAGAGAAGAGGAGGAGAAGGCAAGAATTTTTAATGGAAGCAGATTTACCAAAAATTGCAGAAAATAAATTAATATGTTTAGAACTAGTTTTTTCCCAGGACGAAATCAGGTTGGCACTGAAGAGTACGGTGGGAGGAAAGAGCCCTGGCCCTGATGGTTTTACGGTGAGGTATTATAAAAAATTCAAAGAGTTATTGGTCCCTAAACTTTGTAGATAAATGAACATGCCAGGAGAGGGTACGGAAATGAGAGAAGAGTCATTGCATGCACATATAACAATTATTCTTAAAGAAGGGAAAGATAGTTCAATGTGCTAGTTATAGACCCATATCATTACTAAACACTGATACTAAACTGTTCTCAAAAGTGTTAGCTACCAGATTGAAATAATTTATGCCGGAATGGATACATTTAGATCAGAGAGGATTTATCCCAGGAAGAGAAGGAAAAAATAACGGTTTAAGAACCCTGCTCCTTCTGCAAAATGCAAAAAGAGGCAGGCAGCCGATAACTATTCTGTCGATAGACGCAGAAAAAGCCTTCGATAGGTAGATTGGGGATTTCATGATAAATACATCGGAGGCAGTGAGAATAGGGGAAAAAATGTTGAAGTGGATAAAAGAGCTCTATAATGGCCCGTCAGCAGCTGTGAAGATTAATGGGTCCCTGCCTTGGACCTTTAGATTGTATAGGGGAACCAGGCAGGGTTGTCCACTATCCCCATTACTATTTGTGCTATCCCTGGAACCGCTTCTGGCGTTGGTTAGAAAGAATATAGATATTACAGGAATTAAGATAGGAGGGGTGAAACATAAGGTAGCAGAGTATGAGAACGATATGCTGTTTTACATCATGAATCCTAGACTAACACTGCCTAATTTAATGGGGCTATTAAAACATTATAGAGAGTTATCAAATCAAAATCAAAATCTGAGATCTTAAATATTAGTGTGTTCAAGGCAGAGAGGATGAATTTACAAGAAGACTCTCCATTTACTTGGAGGGAAAGGGAATTAGGTTATTTGGGAATAAAGTTAACTCCCAAAATAAAGGACCTATACCAAGTCAACTATATCCCATTGATAAATTAAATAAAAGATGAGTTGAGAAGACTCTCAGGGGAGTGGGCCTCATGGATTGGATGTATTAATCTGGTGAAGATGGTAATAGTCCCAAAAATTATGTATAAGTTTCAAATGTTTCCAATAAATCTACCCGGATCCTTCTTTAGGATAATAAGAAAATTGATATTGGAGGTTTATATAGGCTAATAAGAAGCCAAGAATTGGGTATGAAACCTTATGCCGTAACAAAGAGAGAGGATTAAATTTGCCAAATATGAGGAAGTATTATATGTCGGTGTTATTATCACGGGTGGTTGACATGACACATAACTCACGAGAGAAAAGTTGGGTTAAAATGGAAGGTATATTAAGTAATACACAATTAGAGAGGATCATTTGGATCCCATGTAAGTTTCGGGGTTTTGATGCAAATGGTAATACACTGACACGGGAGGTGTTGAGAATTTGAGATGGTGTGCCCAAGTCTATGGGGTGGAAGTATAACTCACTACTGTTGCCATTGGTGAACACAGATTTCTTTCCCCCAGGGAGAGGTAATGTTTCGGGAAATGGTTTAAAGATAGAAATGCACATTTGGGAGATATAGTGGATAGAGAGAAGTTATGCACTTTTTTATGAATTAAGGAGTAAAAAGGATTTATTTTTAGCGTTAGATGAATTGAGATATTGTCAATTAGGATATTTTTTCTCAATGCTCCCCAACCATTGAGGATGGCGAAGGATATGCTTCCTTTTGAAAAAATGTTGAGCTTTAAGATAGCATGTATACATATAAACTTTAGGATTTATAAGATCCTAAGTGA